ATGGATACCTTTGACACTCCCTCGAGTCATCTAGGCAGGCCCTTGGGGTTCGCCCCCAAGGCAGCTCGTTCTATGCGGCTCGGTGGCAGCACGCATGGGGGAGGCAGGTCGGAGCTTTCATCACCTATACCCCCTTTATATGCTTAAAATTAAAAAGTCCAAGTTGCCCGAGTAGTCTGCTCTACATCAGACCATCAGAAGGCTCCTTTCTCACCAGTTCTTGGCCGAAATTACAACCCCAAGTTCTGGGTTGTAACAATGGATCTTCCCTGGGCATGGATCTTGCCCGAAGCATTTATATTGAGGGATGGATCTTCCCTGAGCATGGATCTTGCCCGAAGCATTTATATTGAGGGATGGATCTTCCCTGGGCATGGATCTTACTCGAATCATTTATATTGAGGGATGGATCTTCCCTGAGCATGGATCTTGCCCGAAGCATTTATATTGAGGGATGAATTTTTCCTAGGCATAGATCTTGCCTGAATCATTTATATTAAGGGATGGATCTTATCCGAATCATTGATATTTGGGGATGGATCTCCCCATCAGTTGGATTGGCCTTGTATAGTATTGAGTGACTAAATGTCAGTTATTATGTATATATATTGGGATGGATCTTCCCTGGGCTGGATTGCCCATATACAGTTATGAGTGATTGAGTACTCTAAGAGTGTGAGTACATGAGTTCATCACTGTGCTACATTGCATTAGATATGCATACTCGATATGCAAGCATAGAGAAGTATTTTTCCTCATGCCATCTGATAATGAAATTTCTTATCGGTTGTTAACGTTTTTGAGGAAAAAAATCACAGATTTCATACTTACTCATATTTTTGGTGACTTTTGGCAAAAGATTTGAGTTTTACGGTTATACTTAAAAAGAAAATATTTATTTTCCAGAATTGTATAAGAGCTGGGCATGTTATTCTTGAGTTATTACTTGTGCTGCTTTAAATTATATTGTTATGAACTGTTGTTGTTTATTGAAGTTGGACTCTGACCTTTGTTCCAGCTCGTCACTACTTTCAACCTAAATTTAGGTTTGTTACTTATTGAGTACATGGGGTCGGTTGTACTCATACTACACTTCTGCACCTTGCGTGCAAATATTGGATGTAGCACCTCTTTGACTTTTCAAAAGTTGATATATATAGGGTTTTAAATCGCCTTTCTCTTAATTTTTCATAGAACATGACCAGAGAATACCCAAAAACTTACCCTTAAGTTCTCTACAAGGGTTCCTAAGAAGATTAACATCTCGGGTATGAAATATAGAAGCGATAACATTAGAACGATCCCTACGACTTAAGTATCGCTATATTGCCTCTCTTTTTCTTTGTAATTTCAGTTTTGGAAGGTAATTCATAGTTAAGAAAATGCCTACTTTATGTATTTAAGCTTTTAAATGTCAATTAAGGTTGATAAATTCGTTTCCTAATAGTTAGAACTCACGGGACGGTGATCGAAAGCCGTGAGTTCGATTTATTTCACTTTTAGTGGACTATTTTATAGTCCACTCGTGTTGGCCTCTTGTGCTGATGTCTTATGAAGTTTTGGAGGATAAAAGATGTGGAGAAACACCACATAATGTTGGAATAGTGGGCTGGTTGTTTGTGGTTATATCTTTTAGGTGTTTTGGCACTACTTTGGTTGTCGTTTTATGTATGAAGTGATTAGAGTGTGTGGGCTATTTTGTGGTATATTGTGATGGAGATAAGGTTGGAAAATGATACATACATGTTATTATTGTTGTGTTCTTGTTGTTGTTGGTATATAGTATTGGAGGAGGGCCTTGTTACAGGGGAGATGCTGCCCAAATTTACGTAAACGAGCTACTAGTTTAAGTTGCGGACTTAGCCTTTACTCAGCACTGATTTTGAATCTCATTATGCTGTGTTAGATTGAGTTGAGTTGTTTGAAGAATTGATTGGAAGGTATTAAGGACTCAACGAAGTTAAGGTATGTGGGATGACTACACGCCTTGAGAAAGTTTAGAGTGATTTGGGATTCATGGTGGACAGTGACTCGGTCTATGGGCTTAATTTGGAATATTGGTTGCTATACGGAGGAAGGTTGGATATAACATAAAGGAGTTGCGTGATATGAAGAAGGATACAACAGGACTTTGGATTGGGATGTATTGTCGCACCTTTAATTGATGTCCATGAAGAGTGAACAGACTTGTACAAATGGTGAATACGCACAGGCTCAGGATGGGTTACTGATTTCGTAGTAATTGCACCCAGTGCAGTGGCATTGGATTATGTCGGCATGGAGTTTCCACGGGTGGGTTATCTCCTGTGAGCAAGTTAGCGATTGTGTGGTATTGACGAAGCTCCTACGAAGAATTTCTACTGACTATTCAGGAAGAGGTCGAATAAGTGCATGTGGCTAGTGATTCAGAGTGGCCATGAAATGTTTAACAGAAAGGTTTCGAGAAATTTGGTGGGTTGATTGTGCAAGATCATGTCAATGGGGGATAAGAAATCTCGGTGGGTTCTAGAGTTATGCAATGGTTCTCTTGAAATGAGTTAAGTGAAAGGTTTTTATATAATGAAGTGGGTACCCTATTAGTGGTTCAAGAGTTATGATGAAATTTTTGTACTCTTGCGTAGTGGCACGTTAGGTGCAGTGAGCGGCATGGGAATTGGAAGTTGAGGATCAAAGTTGCGGTTCAGGGTTGGCAAGAATGTCACAAGCTCGAATGAGCAGGGAAAAATTCAGATGTTTAGAATAAGATGGTATTGTCCTTAGCGTTACCTGAGATCGGTGTCCTGTGTAAGAGGCTTTGTGTACTGATTTGCAGCTTCTTGATTTGCTTTACAGCATTAGTGTGACCGGTGGTATGGATGTGCAGACTTCTTACCTGGTGTGGAAGGTCGTGGGAGTGTATCCCACGGGAAGATTGTATAAGTGTGACATGTAGTCACTTGATTGATTAAAGATTTAAAACCAAGTATGGAGATTGTGGTACTATCGCTAATGTGAGAATTTATGCCTGAAGGGCGCTCGGTCCATTTGGTTGTGGAATGTGAAAGTTTGTTCCGGATTTGACAGTAGTTCTTATGTATCATGAATAGGTCATTGTGGGTCCTTGAGGGGATATTTAGCCAAGCATGGTATGATCAGAATAGATTTGAGGTCCACAGATGGATCTAAATGTGAATGTGGGCTCTATATCAGGCCGGATTTGCTCATCTCAGTATAGCGTTGTTTTTGGAGGGGTCTTCAGGCCTTGGATGTTATTTCTGTTGTCTGCCCTTCCGTGCAGTCTCTATTGTGCTATGTGGGTTATGAGACAGTTTGATTATTCACACTCGTATTGAGATCCCGTATAATTTGTGGTGTTATGTGAGCAGGCTGGCTCTCGAGATGCAGATCATATATCGTACCTTAATTGTGCTTGAGTTTTATAGCACATGACGCTACCCGTCTCCCCAGGATTTGTATTATGCACTTGGCGTGCTTATGATTGATATTCGGGNCTATGAGGCTTTTGGCAGTGTCTGAAGTGGCTTATTGCCTGGGCAGCCTGTACTGGGTGAGACGAGATTATTGGACCTGGGATCAGTGCGATCAGATTTATATGAAGCATATTAAAGAGTAAAAATTATTATTCAGTCCATAATGAGGTAATGGTTCTTGTCGGGAGGAGAGACTCCATACATTGTGATTCGGCAGGTGGCTATGAGTTCTACACGTCTTCTCTGTCGTGGCAGTATTGCGAGAGTTAAAGCAAGGCTTAATTGGTCGTGAGGTACACTACGGGCTTCGGGTCAGTGGAAATTTTAGCTGTTGTGCCTTGGAAAGATTGCCTTAGGCAAATGAGTTACGCGGTGCATGGTAAGAATTCAGTAAGGGTATACAATCATGTGTTGGTACATCATGTAGTGATGGATACGGTGTTCGTATGTTAGAAACAGACCTGGTAGAGAATTTCAGATGTTGGAATTTGGCTCTAAGGCTTATTTGACTAGATAAAAGGGAGGATTTTCAGGTTTGCTCCAGCAAATGTGCTCAACTGGGTTGTGGTAGCACGGGTAGGTGCACGAGGTGTTAAACGATAATTTCGAACAAACTACACAGCAGTTCTTAGCACGTTCGAGGACGAACGTATGTTTAAGTGGGAGAGAATGTAACGACTCGACCAGTCATTTTGAGCTCTAACGCGTCGTTCGGCGATTTGAGGCCATGAGCAGTTTCACTTCGGGTATTATAACTTGTACACATGGTCGAAATTGAATTTCGGGAAGTTCAGAGTTGATTTGGAAAGAGAATTCTAATTTCGGAAGCCTTAAGTTGGAGGAATTGACTAAAGTGTGATTTTTGAATAAACGACCTCAGAACTGGAATTTGAAGGTTCCAACAGGTTCGTATGATAATATTGGACTTGGGCGTATGTCCGGATCGGGTTTTGGATGATCCGGGAGCGTTTCGGCGCTTATTGTAGAAGTTGACATTTTGGAAGAATTTCATATATTTGGGTTGAAGCGTATTTCAATGTTATCGATGTCCGTTTGTGATTTCGAGTCTGGGAATAGCTATGTATGGTGATTCTGGTATTGGCAACGCGTCCGGAAGTGGATTTAGAGGTCCGTAGGTCTTTTGGGGTCATTTGGCGGAAGTTAGAAATCTGAAGGTTTTTCAGAAGTTTGACTGGGAGTGGACTTTTTGATATCGGGGTTGGAATCCGATTGCAGGAGTTGGAGTAGGTCCGTAATGTCGAATGTGATTTGTGTGCAAAATTTGAGGTCAATCGGACGTGATTTGATGGGTTTCGGCATCGAATGTAGAAGTTTCAAGTTCTAAAGTTCATTAAGTTTGAATTGGGGTGCGATTCATGCTTTTGATGTTGTTTGATGTGATTTGAGACCTCGAGCAGGTCCGTGTTATGTTATGGGACTGGTTTGTGCGATTTGGACAGGTCTCGGGGGTCTCGGGTGTGTTTCGGGATGGTTTCGGATCATTTCAGGCTGATTTGGACGGGTCTCGGGAGCACGTTCCGACTTTTTTCCTCATAAATGAATGGTTGATTTTTGGTTCCGAGAAAACGATCTCTTCCATACCTCAGATTATATTTGCTCCTTGTCCATTTCCTCTATATAAAATGTGATTCCATCAATGGATGGGAGAGAAAAAGTGTTCTTGTATCCTGATCAAAAGAGTGGAAATGGATCAGAAAGGGAAAAAAGAATAATCAGCAAGAAAGTATCAAGACAGCAAAGTTCCTGTTTAACGAATTAATTGGTTACAAAACTTTGATTTACCCTTATAGAAGTACCAATGCAAGTCACTAAACTACTTTTTCTGCACTCATCTCGACTTTATCTCTCCTCACTGATTGACTAATTCATGATTTCAATTGTTGATAAAGGCTTCATCTTATGGAGTTTTTCTTCCTTGTGTGAAGATCAGCTTTGATTCTTTAGCCTAACATAATGAACTTGTATTGTATGTGGTTAATATAATGTATCTGAGGTTGTCTGATAAATAAATTTCAGATAATAGCGAGAATGAACAGCCACAAAAGCAGTCAGAGGTGCAAAGCCAGTCTTCATCCCCTGCAGATGGATTGTCCCTCCCTGGCACTGTGCCACCAAACATGCACTACTTGATGCCTTCTCAATTCGGAGATGCAAATGCTGGTATTATTATTTTGAACTCATTTCAACTTTTGTTTGTGATAACCTATTGATGAAAGTCCTTTTTATTCTGCTCCTAGTCATTATTCTTGCCAGTAGATGCAATCCCCATCCCCTCCGCCAAAAAAAATAATACATACACGTGATTCTTTAAGTTCTATGACTGCTATCTTTGTTCAGTAATAGGGTTCTTGTTAAATCTGGTAAAGAACTAAAAAGATGAACATGTGAATGTATTGATGTTGGTTTAGGGAGTATTGTCTTCATGCAGATAGTTGTTATCTGCCTTTTTCATCTTCTTTTGTTTAGTTGATACAGTACACGCACATATATGTTGCATATATTATTTAAATTCACATGATCCTCTGAACACTTCAAAATCGGCTTAAATAATTGGAAGCAAATTTCCATATCCTTGTTCATCTTGATATGCAGATTGAAATAAGTTTTGCTGGGAAGCATACAATACCAATAGTGTAGGGACGTAAAGTCGAGAGATCAAATTTGTATTTTTTTCGTACTACATCAAATTAATAAGCACCCTCCCCCCGCCTGTGACAATTTTTTTTAATAAAAATTCTTGAAATATTTAGGGCATTAGTTTCAAGATTTTCAAACAGTTCAAATGTAAGCAAATGATATGATGTTTGCCTTTTACTTTAAATGCCATACTCAGACGTCATCCATTAGTTAGAATGTTCATCTACCATTACTATTTTTACACTAACCCCTCAATCAGCATGGGTTAAGTTTTTTCATGTAAAATGGAACTAAGAATGATCTACTGTCGTCTTACTACAGGAGCATCTTTGCACCCTATGACGTGCAGCCTTACCCTGCACAACCTTATCCAGCACTGTCAACGGTATAGATTTTCTTACTAATTACATTTTCATTTGGAATCTAGTGAAGAAGTCTTCACAAAGTTTATCTGACCCATGGTTTGGCAGGTTCAGCAAGTTGGTGTTCCTCTGCCATCAGATACCATACAAGAACCTGTTTTTGTTAATGCAAAACAGTATCATGGCATCTTGAGGCGTCGACAATCTCGTGCAAAAGCTGAATCAGAAAATAAACTTCTAAAAGTTAGGAAGATATTTTGTACAAAATGCACTTTGTATCATTTTACCTGCAGGGTCAGTTGCTTCAGTAGGCCTGCCATTTGGCAGCTTATTGGTTCAACGGCTGATTTATATTTCCCAGTTCATTAGCCTACCAGCTTTACCAACCTGTAGAACTTCTATTTGGCCCCTTATATTTTGAGGTCAGACATAATGGTAACACGTAAAACCCCAACATTTTATTTCTAATGTACTATATCGTGAAAATAAATAGCAGATAGTGAAAAAGTTAGTAGGGAAATTGGCAGAAAGCAGTTTTACTCCATTTGCTTAAGGTCTAGTGCAAGTTCACCTCAGATGCTCTCTTGGTGCACATGAAAATCCGTAGGATTTTGTAACATGACATATTGTACCAATGTCTTTGCTGCGCCAAATGGTATTAAACATTAAAAATGTTATATCGACGAAATCATGATCAAACTCCAATCTAAGAAACTACAGGTACTCATGATTTTTGGGCCAATATCAGTTTGATGTCTTCAAAATTAGGATGGTTTTTGTCCTCAAGAGGAATTATTTAGCATGAGATAGAGATTACTCTATCTTTATATGGAGATTCTTTTTTTGTTGATAAGGAGCATTAAAAGAAGTTGCTGGTCTAATGTGCTATGACCTATATTGTGGCCATGAATTCATACTAAACTTGATTCAAACACGAGTAAAAGTGCCATTTCGTTAATTGCTCCATCAACATCTTATGGTCTGTTGTCTATCATCCCAACATGACAACAATAACAATTATTATGCCTCAATCCCGAATAAGTTGGGGTCGGCGATATGTATCCTTATTTCTTTTTTTAAGCTCAACTCGTATCATCATCATTACCAAAATAAAATAAAACAAAAATGAAAGTAAAAAGTAAGATAAATAAA